TTTACGTATGGAACTTCAGCACCGATGAAACTTTCCCAACGCGGAAATCAACGGAAAAACGACAATCCCGTCTTGCCTAGTTTTTTTTTTCACTGCTGCATCCTAGCAGTTCTACATTTATCCCCAGTGGGAGACCATTTCATCGTGAAATCTGCCTTTAATTCCGACTCCTCTTTATTAGCCTTCGCCTTTAAGCAGTTCTCAGAGCTTGGGGCCAATTGCTAGCATTCTCTGAAATTCGCGCGTTCGCTAGCGATTGATCGCAGTCTGACATTTGCTTCACTTGCTTCAGTTTCCTACAAGATTTAGGTCCTAATCAACACTCCAAAAACACTCAAGACTCATCCCAGTGCTTAATGTATGGCCGTTGCACATAAGAAATAGAATTTGCGAAAAGGCCAGCTAAGGCTAGCGCGCTTAGCTACACCCTTACCTTTTGTTTTCCTGCAGCTCATACTTGTCAGAACAGCGTACTGAGTCACTCTGTCTTGGTGTTTAGCGATATCGACAATCTTAAGATTATTGGCCTCCATGTGTTGCGTTTCGAGGTATCTGCAAACAGAATGCGTTCAGTCACGTAAAGAGAAGTCTCCATCAATTGCTGTGAATATTATTGGGTTGTCTCATAATTCCTGTCTCATTTCTATTCAATTTCAAATTTCTTCCGTCTAAGACCGTTTCATTGCGAAATACGTTAGTATGTTGAAGTATGCTTCAAGAGCCTTAACAGCATGGTTTCGGAAGCGCAAGCCCGTAACGGGTTAATCAACTAGGAATAAAAATAGGTCAGTGACAATAATGAATGATTATGCTTTACGATCCTCAAATGAACTCTGTAGCAAGGAGGACAACAGAGAAGATCAGCGCTGTGTTTGACCAGTCTCTGCTACTGATAGGGTACTGAGCTAGTGGTCCAATCGCAACGGCAAAGACGAAACGAGCTATGAACTTCAACCTCATACTGGGCCTGCGGTCATTTTTGATGAGCGCCCCTTGCACCCTAAATTGGGAGTGCCTCCGGACGTTGCTACCAGGGTATTGTAGCAGATACCTGAGCAGAGCCTTCCCTAGTCGGTCACCAGTGGAGATGAGTCATGAGGCCACTGCGACAACAACACGCGGCACAGACGGCTCAACCAAAGCCTAACTTCGTATTCTGAGAACATTACTCTTGGTTGTTGTATTCGCTGGGTGGCCTGGTTTGGGAACTTCACTGTATGAAGACAAGCATTGCTAAAGTCAGCGTGGAATAGCCCTCTAGGCTGGCTTCGGTATTGCGAGGAATCGTCAGAAACGTCTCAGAATCTCCTTTCTCCGAATGTACGCCAGACCTCACATTGCAATGCCAACTCACCACGTTCTGAGGGAGATAGCCAGGGCCACGATACCTCATCCACCATATAGCATTGGCATCGCTCTATCGGACTATCGCCTCCCCTGCGCCCTGAATAAGCATCTGCCAGAGAAGAAAGTTAAAGATTGCGACCACCCCAAAAACGACTTCTCCAAATTCTTCAACCCCCAGCTTCCTTCATTCTGGGCTGGAAGCTTCCAAACGCTCACTAGCAAATGCACGCATATCAGTGACCATGATGGTGGTTATGCTATTGATCAGTTGTTTCCTAGAAGAGATAAAACTTGAATAAACAAAAGTGTCGAAATTGAGACAGGAATTATGAGACAACCCAATACGTCCTCCAGTCCCTACCTCAGCGCATCAACTACATGGCCTCTCTCCAGCAAGACTTCCACAATTTCATCACAGGCCTTCTGTCTAAAAAACAAAGCGACCAACACTCAGGCAGTTCAGAATGAAATTGGAAAGGATACGTACCGCGCCAGAATGTCGATACCGGACTGGAAAAGCGATGGACATCTGGCTTCGTAAGAAAGAAGAAGAAAGGCCAGTGGTTTCGAATCAAAAATAACCTAAAGATATTTCTATTTCTACCTTTCACAAAAGATTCGTTTAAGATTTTTTTAGTCTGGTAATAATTACATGAGACACCATGTGTGACTTAAGAACATGAGTAGCATTTGTGTAGACTTACCTTGTAAGTTACAAGCTGATGAAGCTTTCCCATTTCTCCTGAAAGTGCAAGTGACTCGACGACCAATTCCAGAAAGT